CAGTCTGTGAATCACAGGATCACCCAATGCGTCTTTTCTTCCTCACAGATTTCCTTGGTCGATGAGCTGAAGACTTGGTGCATGCTGAAGATTCAGAATCTGGAACTCAAGCTTTCTGGAGATTCCAGGTCATCAAGACCAAAATCGACTCTGTCCACATGCGAGTCTCTGCCTGAGACACTGGACACTGAGAACAACCCCCACAGTGCCAAGGACTGCAGAGCCACCCAGCCCCTGCTGCCAGCTGAGGGCTCCCACCAGCACTCCTACATGGCGCTCCCAAACAGTCTCTTGGAAGATGGGGAAAGAAGCAGAGTCCCAGTGCCAGAGCAGAGCTTTGCACAGCAATTCTGCGTTCAACAAGATGGCACCTCAGGTACAACCTTGTCAAGTACTTAGGTATCATAGTTATTCACAGGTGAACTGTTTAACAGAGGGATCCTTTTATTATCTGACTGTATCGTGGGCTGCATTAAAAAAGGAGTGGCAGCAGGAAAAGGGAGGTGATTTTCCCCCTCTCCTCTGCTTTGGTGAGGCCCCAGCTGGAGTACTGCATGCAGGCCTGGGGCCACCCGTACAGGAAGGACGTGGAGCTCTTGGAACAGGTCCAGAGGAGGGCCACGAAGATGAACAGAGGGCTGGAGAACCTCTCCTGTGAGGAAAGGTTGAGGGAACTGGGCTTGTTTAACTTGGAGAAGAGAAGGATCCAGGGAGACCTCATTGTGGCCTTCCAGTACTTGAAGGGAGCACATAAACAGGAGGGGAAATGACTGTTTGCGAGAGTGGTTAGTGATAGGACAAAGGGGAATGGTTTTAAACTGAGACAGGGGAGGTTTAGGTTAGGTATTAGGAGGTTTTTCACAGAGGGTGGTGACACCCTGGAACAGGTTGCCCAAGGAGGTTGTGGATGCCCCATCCCTGGAGGCATTCAAGGCCAGGCTGGATGTGGCTCTGGGCAGCCTGGTCTGGTGGTTGGCGACCCTGCACATAGCAGGGGGATTGAAACTGGTCATTGTGGTCCTCTTCAACCCAGGCCATTCTATGATTAATACCATAGATATTAATTCTGTCTGTGTGCTTTCTCCCATCTATATGCACAGTGTTTTGGGAACAGACAACACTTGAAGGCACAGCCACTGAGAATATTTTGATTAATATTACACTGACTCTTCTCAGTGCTGCCACTTTATGTTTGAAACCAAGACCTTTTATGCTCTCAATAACTTTATCTACTGAAATTTCTCCAGCTTCCCAGTCAGAATTATGCACAGATTCTTCAGTAGGCTGGATAAAGTGTATTGCATTTAAGTGCTTTTCAGATATGTGGATCCAGTAATGGTAGGGTCCAAGGATGTGAAACTGAAATACACACTTCCCTTGTTAGTATATAAATCATAGGGCTACAGAATAAATCTTTTTCCACTTTTTAATTATTAGTTCATTATGGAACTGGAAAAGAAACACCATAGTTGAGAACATTAGATGTATTCAAGGATCATGACCACCTGAGGACCTGCAAGACCTTGGTTCAAACAACTTCTCTGATCAGGGAAGCTCCTTAGGAAAAAAGAAACAGGAAGAGCACAGTTCCAGCTCATGTCCCCAAATCCAAGGAGAGTTTCTTTAATATACATGGTATAAACCCCCCAAAACATGACTTAAAGAGCACGGACATGGATGATGATACCCTACTAGACAAAAAAGGCAGAGGACTGTAGAGATCTTGCAGTAGAACTAGCGTAAGCGTAAGCAGAAGTTGTTGTCTTGGCAAAATTCATAGGGTTCCAAGTTTTGTAGAAGGATGGGATTGATAAACATCAGCAGACACATACGACTATAGGAACCTAGCCTGCTCTTTGCATGTGTCCTTTTGTGAAGACCTTTGATCTGCAGTAGTCTGTGCAGTGCCTCTCTCTCTCTGTCTCTTTTCTCTTATCTTCATGGTCAGCCAATAGAATAATGTGATGAACTAATACAAGCCTTTACAGCGTATGCATAGTATGATGCATGGGAAATAGCACCATAGACCAGACACCTTAGAATACAAGGACTTTTGAATACTAAAGTGCTCAGAGCTTTTCTAAATATATATTTTTGTTTTATAGGTGCAGAGCAACAGTTAATTGTTGCTGGACCAGTACAGTCTTCAGTCCCTGCTCAAGATGTCAGGCCAAAGGACAAAGCCGTTAGTGCCAGCACATTCCATAGGTTCCAGCAGGAGCTGCCCTCCTCTGAACTTTTGGGGTCCAAATCAAGACATGTTCGGGTTCAAGCTGCTTTGCAGCCCTTGAGTGAACCTGCAAAGACGGAACCACAGAGCTGCTACTTCCTCAACAAAGGAACTCAGACAAAGAAATCCAGCAAAAGTGGGCAGTCGAGGCACAGAGCTCTGCACCACACAGGGGTGCCCCAGAACCAGGAGCAGCAGCACTCCACTCTGCCTGTAGGCCAGTCACTGGGCCCCGCGCTCAGAGACACCTCACAGGCACTGGAGATTACGCAGTACTTCTTTGAGGCTGTTTCCACTCAGATGGAGAAGTGGTATGAACGGAAGATTGAAGAAGCCAGGTGCCAAGCTAATCAGAAAGCACAGCAGGACAAAGCTGCGCTTAAGGAACATATCAAAAGCTTGGAAGAGGAGCTCAGTAAATTAAGGACTAAGATGCAGAAAGAAAGCTAGCATTCACCAAGCAGGCCAAGTCAAGCAGCAGGGACTGGTTTTGGAACCTGCACAGGAATCTGGAGTATCGATACATATTGATACATATTTGTAGTGCCTGATACACCCAAGCAAAATGCTCTTTTTTGGGGAGGGATAGAAGTAACTTTGGAAACTCCAGAACCAAGGAGACTTCATACTCAGACCGTACCGATGACACTGAGATGCTGCAAATGAGATCCTTTCTTTGTTATTTCCCAGAGTCCGTTCATTATCGCACTCTCAATTTTCAGGTGCTGCTTGGAAACAAATTGCATTAAAAACCAAAATTGCTTTCAGAAAAGGGAATTTTCTTATTTCCACATAGGTCATATGTGACTGGGTTCCACTACGTGCCACACGTAGATGTGGTACTGACATTAAAATAAGTCCAGGAGGGCGAGATCTTTCGACTCGGTCAGAAGTGATTCCTCAGTGATGAAGGGCTATTGATATTACTTCAGATACTTCCCAGGGCCTTTGGAGAGATACTACAGAATCACCTCGCATTACAAGCGTAACGCAGGGGAATGATGCAGGTTTCCTGCTGGCAGAGGCCAGGCTCCCATTGTGTGAGACATCGAGGTGAATTGTCCTGTTCAGTAGGCTTCTGTGGCCATGTTGCTTTTCTTTTGGTTTACATTATTAAAACAAATGCTAAATGAGGCTGTTCTACTGGTATCATACTGGCAGAGCTTCCTGCGGCTGGTTACACTGTTGGAGGAGTTTTGTTTAGGGCATGGATGACAGATACTTCACTGTAACTATGCTGTACTTGTTATGCATAATTGTTACAGAAATCTCTTTTCCTTCAAGCAGCAAATGTCTGACTTCTATACTAACACTGAAGAAGTCTGAAAGAAGTCCTTTATCAAAGAGGTGAAAGCTTGGCTCCCTGTATGCATGTTTCTTTTCTGAAGGGTCACAATTTTCTCCCATGGGCTCTGTCAAGACTTTCTGCCCTTGTTCCTCTGAATGATTCTGCTCTGTTTTTCCCTGTGTATCTTTAAAGCTGGGCCCTGGTGGATCTGTAGATCATAGATTTCACAGTTCCACAAAATAGAACTCAACAATGTTTTTAAACGTTTATGGATATTTTGCAACAACAACAAAAAGAAATGAACAAATTTGCAATGACTGCTTTTGGCCAAGCTGATGGCCTCCAACTTGCAATTCAGAGTGTTGTTTTCAATTGGGTTGACTAAATTCATCATCTGTATCTGAGTCCTGGTGTGCTATGTGTTGCATAAACTAGAGACACCATAAACTCGTATCTGCATCCCTGTGGGGTTTCCTCCTCATGTCTCTGGGAAGGTTCCATCAGAGTCTCTTGATATGAGTTTACTGAGTATGTCACAGTGGAACAACTGTACAAAACCAATTCTGAAACAAGATGGTACCATTATGCCAAGGAGAAAATAAGGCTTTTTTTTTTTCTATACCGTGGAGCCCTAAAAACAATACAAAATTCAGTATTGATGATACCATTAACAAATCAGTAATTAAGCTTTTTGTCGTCCTAGCAGATGTATAAAACAAAGAAAAATTGTATAACAATATTTTAAACAAATTCCTCTTAATGCACTATCAAGAAAAGTGTACGTGTATTATGGAAACACTAGTTTGATTGCTCTGACTTCCATAGTCATATAGACACTTTCATATGTTTACAATTTTGTTTAAGCTACTGTAGAAACACAGAAGCATGCTATTTAAGTTTTATATCACCTTGATAAAGTGACTGTTTTGCCAAGTAATTAAAATAAATGTTGCTCAGAATTCCTGTGTGGCAGTGTTTTCTGTCCAGAGAAAACAAAGTCTCCTCACCTGAATCAGAGGAGGAAGCAGAGAACTGGATTTCCAATTCTAAGCCTTTGTGTCTGTGCCTATAAAACCTGGGAGCCAGACCTGCCAGCTACAGTACAGACAACAGTAACCTGCTAAAGAAGGAACTAGAAGGATCCTTATATGTGTTGGAGTTGCATTATCACAGATGTCACCACTTCACCAGGCTCCAAGCTCAACCAGCACTACAGCCTCTGAAATTCTGAGACATCCAGTTTTCTTTAAGCAACTTTAGGGACCCAGACAACACCATCAGTCACTTTACCAACAGCTGGGACAAGAACACAACACTCAGGATTGTCATTATGACAGAACTGCAACCTTGTGCAGTCAAAGCATGATTTTGGAATCCTGACTTCTACTGCTTTAATAACTTGAAATCATACTTCTTAAGGCTGACCTGTGAGATTGTGGGATGTCCTTGTGACTTTTTCTGTAACAGAACAAGCAATACAGATTATGTCATTTGCTCTTTTCTGGTTTATTTGCTGAAGCACAACATTAAAAGAATGTGCTGTCAAAGGCTGCTGGTCACTACTGGCTCTTCCAGCACAGATTTTCATATAGTACTATTTGAAAAAAAAACATCTTTTTAGAGACCAAACTAGAAAAAAATGACTTGTTTTTCTGAATGAAACTTCTGTTTGTACCTGGGAACAATGGCTCTGTGAGTTACGTCAGAGAGCAGAACAGCACAAAAGAGCTGTCTAAAAGAGCAGCAGTAAAATGGGCTCCCTATGTCTCTCGTCTCAGTAAAGCTATCGCGTTAACGACAAGGACTGCAGGAGTGCACAGTTCATGGAGTTATGGATACCACAAGGAAAATGCTCATTTTCACTTGTTTGTTTTTCTCCCACTAAATATCAACTGTAGAGAACCAAAACTATAACGCTTACACTGAGAATGTGGATGCCCAATCTGTGGAGGCATCTCCAGAGGGTGATGGACAGTACAGGCTGCCCAGAGGAGCTGTGGATGCCCCATCCCTGCAAGAGTTAAAGGCCAAGTTGGATGGAACCCTGGGCAGCCTGATCCAGTGGGTGCGTGGCAGCCCTGCCTCTCTACCAGAAAGTGTTAACAAAATACAAATTTTTAGCAAAATATTTATAAATACATATCTTTCACTGACTGATTTAGAAGCTGAAAGGCTTCTGACTATACAATCCCCAACACTCTCACCGGTTGCCAGAGCCACATCTTTTGTCAAATAAACTCCATAGGAAAGCATTCCACAGTAACTTCCACAGAAAGGAAGAATTAGAAAAAAAAGACATATGATGAAACATTGTTTTACCATCTTTGGTTTTCATTTATTTATCCCATATACTTCTGCTCTCTTAATTCATAAAAAAGAAATCCCTAGCACTGTAGAGAAAAGGCTGCTACCACCACAGATGTTACCACACAGAGGTACCACTGCAGGAGAGAGACAAAATAAACAGGCTTCTATTTATCTTTCATCTCTCTAGCAAAATACTGCTGTTGTAATTTTGGGGGCTTTCTGCTTTTCCTGAAGGACGTGCTCCATTATCCATTCAGTTCTTTTAGGCCTTCTGTCTCTGAGTGACTTCCACATTGAAGAGTAAACGAGCCAAGAAGGGGAAAATAAAAAAAACAACAATCCAAACCCACTGTGGTAGATCTACCTTCAGGTATTATCAGGACATCACCAAAGGCTGCTATTATAACCACATTCTGGACAAAAATAATACTGTCCTTATTTGCAGCAGATGAAAGTCCAGCTGTCAGCACAACCGCACTCAGGACTTGGCCAACTTCAGTGCTCTCTGAAGTTCCCGCAGCTGCATGTTGCCCTGAGTAATCATCATCCGGATTGCATCCTGGAAAACAAAAACTGAATCTCCTGAACTGCAGGTACATACACTGGTTTTACAAGACTGCAAGGACTTCAGTCACTGACATGGGTAAAAAAACAACAATGAATAATTAATCAGAACGAGCAGTACTTCCACCAACATTACATTTACCTTAGTACTGTTAGGCTTTGCAGAACTCAGCCACCAACTCCTTAAGCGTTGCTCAGAAAAAGGAACTAAGCAGAAAGCAGAGGACAAAAAGCACACAAGAAATGTGAAGGTTTCCATAATTTCTGTTCATGTACCCAGCTGTCCAGTTGTGTTTGGTTTTGCTTACAATTGAAGTCAGAGAAAAAGAACATCAGCACCAAGGAACAAAAGGATGCTTACAGGTTCCTGCAAGCCTGGCTGTGATGCTTGCAAACAAAACCACAGCACAGCCTGGAGCACAGCTCATGGCAGGGGACTGCCAGCTCCCACTCCTCACCTCTTCTGTAGCATCTTTGTTCCTCCGGAACTCCTCCCGCGCCCACTCCTGCAGATGGCGGCGGTCTGCCTCAGCAGGGACGTCCCTTATGGCCCGCAGGATCCTCCTGTACAGCTGCAGCACCTGCTGCCGCCTCAGGAACTGCAGAACAGAGGTCAGCCTGCAGCCCTGTGCCAACAGCCCTGCACTGCTCTGAGATCAGTGCAAAGCTCCCTGTCTCCCTTGTAAAGGATCTAACTTTACTTTGGTTTGCACCAAAGAAACGTAAATTTCATACAAACAGACAAACAAGCCAAACTCACTATGGCATTTGCAGCCATCCCAGGCAGGGAGGCCACCACCACCTCAGTGCCTACTGCCCAAGGTGTTCCTGGTGCCAGCAGCCACCTCCAGTGTTCATGGAATCAGGGGATCACCACAGTTGCAAAAGACCTCTAAGATCACCTAGTCAAACCATCAGCCCACCCCCATCATGCTCACTAACCACGTCCCTCAGTGCCACATCCACACGGTTCTTGAACACCTCTAGGGATGGTGACCACACCACCTCCCTGGGCAGCCTGTCCCACTGCCTCACCACTCTTTCGGAGAAGAAATTTTTCCTAATATCCAACCTAAACCTCTCCTGGCACAACTTAAGGCTGTCACCTCTCATTCTACTGCTGTTACCTGAAAGAAGAGGCCAATTCCCACCTCACCACAACCTCCTTTCAGGTCATCATAGAGAGCAATGAGGACACCCTGAGTTTCCTCTTCTCCAGACTGAACAATCCCAGTTCCCTCAGCTGCTCCCCGTAAGTCGTTGTGTTCCAGAGCCCTCACATCTTTACTGCCCTTCTCTGGACGCACTCCACAGTCTTGATGTCTGTCTTGCAGTGAGGGTCCCAGCACTGAACACAGTACTGGAGCTGCGGTCTCACCAGAGCTGAGTACAGAGGGACGATCACTTCCCTGCTCCTGCTGGCTGCACCATTTCTTGGTACAAGCCAGGCTGCTGTTGGTCTTCTTGGCCACCTGGACACACAGCTGCCTCGTGTTCAGCCACACACTGACCAACAACCCCAGCTCCTTTCCCACACCTCGCTGCTGCCATCTGCTTCCAGCACAGGGCTCTGCCTTCCCCATCGGTTTCCCACTGCAAAACCAACATCCACACACAGAAAAACAGCCTTCCCTTAGCCCTATACTCGGGGAAAAAAAAACAAACTGCACATGAAGCGGCCGAGCCACCTCCCCGCGGCGGGGACACGCACGTACATTTAAACGCTGGACCGCAACACCCACCAGGCCACCAGCGGCCGCTGCGGAAGCGTAGCGCTCCCACTCCGCTTCTCCGACCCCGAGAGCTGCCCGCGAGCACAGCGCCGCCTCAGCAGCCGAACCCCCCGCCCTACTCGCGGCGAAGCTCTGCCCCCCCGTGCCGCCTCCAGGCGGGCGAGGGGAGACCCGAGCCGCACGCTCGTACCTGCCGCAGGGTGAGGGCGCTGGGCGGCAGGCGGCTGGCGGCCATGGCGCACGGCTCCGCCTTTTCCGGGCCGGCGGGCGGGGCGCAGCGGCCGCCATTTGCTGCGACGCCACGTCCCCGGCGGCGCCACTGGGGTGAAGGCAGCGGGTGCTGGAGTTGCATAAAACAGAGTTACATCTTCACACGGAAACTCAAGATTTGTGCACTGCAAGAGAATGCTCTGTGGCAAATTTCGGTAATTTATTCACGCTTTGTTCAACAGAAAGGACAGGACAGACCTCATGACTACAAAGCGGTACCTTTTTATTAGTACAGACTAGATAAGATGCATAGCTTCTGCAACAAAAACCATGTCCGTGCTTAAAGACATCTGATCAATGAAAACGCCCTCAATGTCTGCCTCGGACACAGGCAGACTTCACAGTGTCACCTGGTAGCGCAGGGATTACCGTATGGCTTGATCCACAGAGCTCCCTGTTGCTGTTATCGAGACAAAAATCGGCCACAGCTACACAGGATTTGCTTTAACTGCAGAACGTTTTCAAGTATTCAAGTACTTACTTTTTTTTTTTCTTTTTTTTTGGTTGTTTAAAACCACCGGCTTTCCCCATTCCTCCTGCCTGCCTCCCAGAGAGCTGCCTGGGTGAAGCTGAAGAGCCCTTTTTGTGAGACAGCTCAAGTACTTCTCATACAGAAATGCCTTCCAAGAAGCAAGACTGGTATTTATTGCAACAGATACTGGTACGAATTATTTTACCCCTGTGAACATTGCAATACAGTTTTTCTCTTAAGTATTAAATTATTACAAAAGAAATCAAAGAAAGTTTTACATTATTTAGGGAATACCCAATGAAAGAAGAACAGTCTCACCACTGAGTAATCTCTGACAAATGTGAGAGAATACATATGGACCGTTCTGTTTTTAGGCTGACAGCCAGAGGGCAGCTCTTGTGCCTTAATCCTGTCCGAAGAGATTCCTAGGAACCCTCCAATCGAAATGCTGTTCCATGTATTTCAGCAGTTTAGCAGCAGTAAGGTACTTGCTTTGTCTACAAGGTGTCTGAGGCAGTCACCAGTTCAAACCACTGCCTGAGGGCATCACTGAGAGTTTCTGGAAGAGCATTTACATCTCTCAGGATCATGTAGAATGGGAATGGAAATTCCTCCATGTAAGATCTGATTTCGGGCAATTCTCCAGGTCCTCTGAATATAGGTACTTTAATGTCCAGGATGGAATCCTGTAAAAAAAAAGAATTGACAGGACTGCTGAACTACATGCATTGTTTATAAATGTTTGAAAAATGAGGTAATTTCACCTCTCTTAAATTAAACATTAATAAAAAGTTTTAATCTTAAAAGCTGTGTTAAACGATAAATGAAATCAAAAGCTTAACATAAAGCAGTTCAGTGTTTTTATCAGGTTAAATTCCAACTGTGCTTCTTATAAAGGAGCTTCTTAGATGCTCAGTGTAGCAGTTCAGAAAATTAATAATAACTCTAGTGAAAAATGCATTTCACTACTCAAAATTCTAGCTTGCCATCATAACTAGGATTAATCAGAGCATCATAATTGCTTATAAGAAAGGTTTTGCTTTTTTTTTTTTTCCCCAACAATAAATAGAGCAAATGAGTTTCCTATGGGAAAAATTAAAAAGTGTAAGCAGAGAACTTTCACTACAAAATTAGAATCTTCACCACATAATTCAAAATAAAGTTCAAGTTTGCTTACATGACAGAGCGTTGCTGAAAAGCTTGCAGATATTTCAGCTTCCCAGCCAAGGAAATCTAAACCACTTATTTCCTACTGCATATTAAATATGGAGTTCAGCTTTCTCAATTCAGGCACAGCTCTCACACCTCGTCTGTCTGATGTTTAATTTCATTCTGGCTCCAGCTCTCATGCCAAGCAGAGACTGGTGTCAGAAGTGATCATGTGAACCAAAACTGAGGTAGAACAAACCATCTCTGAAATTCTGAATCTATCAGCCTGCCAGTTACTTCTCTGGTGAAGAAAATCTACAACCATTAAGATGGCAGTTTCTATTTAGACTTTGTGATATGGAAGCTGATTTTTTTTTCTTTAATATAAAAGAGGATGAATGTCACAATTGGGAGAAATCCTAGATGACTTGAGAAATGAAAAACTGAAATTGGCCTAAATATGTTTGACTTCTGCAAAAGATAACACAGTTGTAAAGCACTACAAAGGCAAGAAAACAATTTGTTTCCCTTCTCACTCACATCACTTGAATACTTCTCCCTTGTTCACACGCTTACCCGGGAATTGGGATTGTCCAACACTACGAAAATAACGAAGATGTTGGCATTCTGAGCTGCTTGGACTGCTGCTGTCACTCGTTCCTTGCCTTCCAAGAAGAGGCCTCTTCCATCAGAGACAATCAAAAGCAGCTGTGCAGTTTCTGAGCACAAAGAATATTTTAAATTCTAGCCAGTTAAAAGTAAACCATTTAAAAAGCAAACAGACTACTTTGTTGCTAGTTCCATGAGTATAATGGAAAACCCCTCAATTTTCCTATGGAATTTAAATCTTTATCCAATAGAAATCTGTGACATAACATTAAGCTGCTTATGAGTAGGTCAAGAAAGGAGTTTTCTCCCCTCTGCATAAAAACCACTGAGAACCAACCCCTAAGTACCATCAACAAAGATGAAAGACATAGAAAATACCCAACAAACAGCCACAGCATTGTCTTTCTTGACAACTGGCTGCTGCAATTAAATGGAAGGAGTTCAAAACTACTTCAAAATCAGGTATCTACAGGCGTGTCTACACTTAGCATTTCATTCTGGACAAAGACTGGTTTTGAAGGATGTTTCCCTGTTGTTCTACATCACAAAGGAATGCTGGAGTGCACAAAAGGGATTACTTTTGGATGAATCTGAACAAACATGCCTGTGTCCCTTGCAAGCCTTTCTGGCAAAGCACTACTTCAGGACTGTAGTGAACATTCTGCTGACACAGCAACAAGAACAGTCACAAAAAAGGCTTACCTGGATTCATGTTTTGAGACAGCTGCTGTGCTGCAGCAAACATACTTGATGATGATTCTAGAAACTGCAAACAAATGAGAAGAGAAAATTATCATAAAATAATAAGCATATTGTAGCTTTTTAAAATAATACATTTCTGTATTTTAAATGCCAAAATAGCTTAGCTTGGCCACCTACACAGACTCATTTCTTGGCATTTACTTGTATTAACTCAAGTTCAAACTTGATGTATACTTTTGAACTAGGGAATCTTTAGAAAACATGTCACATAACACAGTTACCTGGATTTAAAAAATGCCAATTCTAATAAGGCCATCAAAACTTGAGTAAATTGTTCAAGTGATTAATTATGTCATTAAAAAATATACTGTTTCTTTGGCTTTGACTTGCAACAAAAGTATCTAAATTACATATACTTCATTAAAAAGACATCAACTGTCAAATACAGCCAAATTTTGCCATTTGTAAAACTATGTTTGAGGTATTTTGGTCTCCCATTTTCCATATATAGAACATCTTATTCTAGTTTGGAATGGTAAGAATGCAAATACCTTGCTAAAAGCAGAATACTTTGCTGATGTCCAGAAACTATCAGTATACAAAGCTCTTTTCAGGAAACAAGCCAGTCTGACAAACACTCAAGACTGACAAGCAAAGCTCCTTCCTATTCCTACAGTGGAATCCATGTCATGAAAACCTCTTTAACTCCCATAGGCTTTGATGGGGTTTGTCACTGGGCCACTGATAAGAGCAAGATTAATACTTTATACCTTAAAAGGTTGAGACCAAACACAAACAGAGAAAGATGAATGCTTAAAAGTGATGCAAATCAGAATAGAAAGCGGGAAAAAAAAAAAATCCTTACTGTGGTCATTTTGTTACCTGACGAGTCATCACACACACAAATATAAACAACCAAAAAAAATTGCAAAGTGATCATGAAAGCACCAAACAGCTGATGCTTCTGTTGGGGCAAAACGTGCAAACAGTGCAAACGTGCAAACCTGGTGCCCTGGAGGCATTTTTGTGTACCTGAGCTATTTTTGTTTTCTTCTGCTGAAATTTGCAAAGGCGCAGTATCCGTGTCCCTGACTGGTCACTGAACTGTTCATGGAAGGGATGCAGCAGCTGAACAGTTTCTCCAAAGCTTTGGGAAATAAATAAACAAACAAACAAACAATAAATCAGTACTTGCATTCCCCTCTGAAATCTGAAAGAATCAACTTATAAAATAAACTCACCTACACACAGCAATTTGTCCCACTTCTAGAAGAGTCAGTGCATTCCCAATGACTGCCAGGGATTCATATGCAAGCTATTAAACAAACAAACAAACAAACAAACAAGAAGTTAAAAAATGGGCTATTCCAACTTTTTCCTTTAGTATTCAATACGGAGAATGTTACTGAAATTCATAGAATCATAGAACACTTAGAGTTGGAAGGGACCTCTGAAGGCCATCTAGGCCAGCTCCCCTGCCATGAACAGGGACACCACAGGTGGATCAGCTTGCCCAGAGCCTGATCCAGGCACACCCTGAATGTCTCCAAGGATGGAGCATTCACCACATCTCCAGGCAACCTGTCCCAGTGCCTCATCACTCTTATTGTAAAAAGCTTCTTCCTTATATCCAATCTAAATCTTCCCTCTTCTACTCTGAAACCACCTCCCCTTGTTCTGTCACCACAGACCCTGCTAAAGAGCCTGTCCCCTGTGTTCTTTCCTGTAGCCCTCCTTCAGGTACTGAAAAAAATTGTTTGTCATCATCTAGTAAAACAAATGAACAGACTGTCTATTATTTTTCCTGTTACAGACTTGAGAGAGCCACTGCCATAAAAATACACCAATTCTATCTGAGGATTTATGCTGGTTGATTTAGATAGCAATGCCACCTCAGGTGGGCTAGTGAAATAACACTGAAGTAACCGTTTTGAAGGAAACATGCATGTGTCATAAAGATCTACAAGAGATCTGTCATGAACTAATATTTAATCCTGCACAGCTAGACAAACTTCAGTATTCTGTCAGGAACAGAAAGGACCTTTTGTCTAATAAATTTCTTTCAGTTAACATTCACTGGCCTTTTAGCAACCAATCTCTGAGGCGTGAAATCACAAGGGCTCAAGCCCATGGACCAGAAAAAGAACTGCCCTAGAACCACCACTTCTTGGGCTTTCCAACAGCCACCACTTCTGTGTCATACAGCACATCAGGCAGGGGCAGTTCCCTTGTAATCCTTCCAAGGTTTTATTTTCACCTGTTTGGAGTGATTGTCTATCATACTAGAGGAATCATCAATAGCCAAGCAAATCTGGTACTGTCGTTTACTAGGCTTGGTTCTTCGCAACCAGATCTTATCTTTTCGGAACTGACTGGCAATATATGGGATCACTTTGCGCATGTTCAGTCTTTTCCCTGTTCTGTAGTCTCCTCTGAAAGCCAAGAAAAAAAGAAAAGGCATAGTTATGGGACTTTAAAGCAAATATCTCGTTCCAGAGATCCTGGCCTATGCAACGAAACACAATATTTTACATTAATTTTTTGATATGTGAATAAATATTTCTAAATATCCATATTTAGGTATAGATAAAAAAACAACGCACACTTCTAATGCAAGACTGATGTTCAGTGCTTTTAAATTCTTAACCCAAGATGCCCAGAACAGAAGAGAAGCCTTTATGCTCCTTCCAGTCTGTGAAAAACATACGTTTTGCTATTTAATAACATCTATGACTCAACACCATTTCAGGTTTAAGTTGGTTTGATCACTACTGCACAGAAGAAAAAAGACTAGAGGCAATGTCCTCAGGATATGTACTTTAAATGCTTGTATTCTATATTAAAAAAAAAAACAACAAAACAACACAAAACACCTGAAGTTCTAATACAGAAGTAAAATGAATACATTTGCAAATAGGAATAATTGCTGTAACACAGGGAACAACACTGAGCTGCAGCTGTACTTAACTTAATCTCACCTCCCAAAAAAAACCAGAGTTGAAAGAAATCTCAGAAAGATTCAACTTACTTCAGCTTGGCTGCCTGAGTGGGTTCCAGTATGAGTCGTAGCTGTTCACAAAGCTGCTGTGACAGAGGAGCTGTCAAGACTAAATACCTCTGCCACAACTCTGCTGCTTCCTTCTCCTAAAACATCATATATCACAGAGAGAAATAAAAGTGAACTATGCAAAACCAAAAAGTGGGGAAGCACAAACCTTTGCATACCAATGAGGAGTTAATAGGTGAATATCAGCTGAAACTATTTGGGTGCCTTGTAAGTAGAGATGACCAATTGCATTCAACTTAGAATGCTGCTTGCTGCTACAAAACCACACTGTGCGATGATCATTCCCTCCAGAAACTCGAGCACTGCTGTAAATATGGGAAAATCTTGCAATGGCTGCCATCTTGTAGATGGTTTCACAGCAAGGCAAGCCATGGGGACGTGGTGCTTAGGGACATGGTTTGGTTTCAGCTAGTCTCAACTGAGATGGAACTGTTTTCTTTAGAGTGACCGGTGTGATGCTATGTTTTGGTTTGAGAAGAAAAGCAATGTTGATAAAACATCAGTGTTTACAGTTATTACTAAACAGTGCTGTACAGAGCCAAGCCATTCCAGCTTCTCAGCTAGTACTTATGAAGGGCTGGGAGGGAACAGAATTAGGACAGCTGACTCAAACTGGCCAAAGGAATATTCCATACCACGTGACATCATGCAGAAGGAGTTCTGAAAGGGCTGGGAGATCATCCAATTCTCTCCCACTGCTCAGGAGGCTAGCTGGGCATCAGTCATGGAGTGGTGAGCAATTGCTTGTGCATCTCTCATTACATAAATTCATATATATATATAATAATACACACACAAATATATATGTATTTGTCATAATTATTTTCCCTTTCCTTTTTTCTACTTAACAGTTTACTAACAGCTTTATCTCAACCCATGACTTTTACTTTGTATTTTTTTCCTTTTGGAACTCTTCCTTATCCCACTGGGAAGAAGGGGGAGTGAGTGAATGACTGTGTGTTGCTCAGCTACCAGCTGGGTTAAACCACAACAGTGGACTTGGTAGTGTTATGCAGTGATTGGACTTGATGATTTACAGGCTTTTTCCAATGTAAATGATTCTATGATAAAGCCTGTTAGGTTCTCTATTGTTACCAGTAGTGTAGCTTTCCACAAATAGCATACAGCATGTTCAAAACAAGATCTGAATCCTGCTTTAAGAATCGTCTGTTTTGGTGTTTTTTTTTCAGATTATGCTAAAAGTAACAAAAATCAACTTTTAAACCATGCAATTCAGAGTATTTGGATTCCAGCCTGCTTGGTTTCCTCAATGTTTCAACAGTAAGTAAAATAAAATAATGCAGTGTAGGATACTTAAGAAAGCATTTACAGTAAAATGAGGTCACTAACCTCCTCTGGACTTCCAGACTGCTGTGTTTGCCAAGCTTCCAACTGCCTTTCAAGCTCCTTTCTCAACTCTTCTGGATCTCTAACAATGTGCTAGAAACACAGTCATGAGATTTATGAGATGGTAAAATAAGTTCACACATCTGGTGATCCCCAAATCTTATCAGACTATAAAATAGCAAGAGAGGTATTGTTCCTATTCCTTTAAACTCAAAAATAAGTGAAAAACTTGAATGAAAAATCCATTCTAAATCACCATTACTGGTTAGCTTCCACATACAGGAAGAATAAACACCTCCTGCTGATTCCTACACCTGACATGATCAACATACAAACAGAGCTGGGCACACTGTAATAGACACTGAAAATAACACAATACAGAACTTCAGAATAACGTGAGTGAACTATCTGACAGACATCAGATCTAATGACAGTGTAATCAAACCTTTTAATATTACACGGGCATTATCTTCCAAAATTGAAACTGCTTCACTTAATTACAGGTTGTTTTTTCAAAAAGTCTGCATTCAAAGCACTTATGAAGAATCAACTGACACTTCCTCTTGGCCTGGCATCAAGTACTGTGTAGTAAGTCAAATACTGTATGGTAAGTTGTTCTCTTAAAGGACACTCACGCTTTAATACATTTTTTCAACTTTTACTGTACTTTCAAGTGACTTCTATTCCTGATTTTAAGCTCATGTAAGGTCTGCATAATCCATAGGTTTACCGGCTTGAGAAAAATAAGCCTACAAATGCAAATCCAACAGTACCAATAACTTCTCATTCTGTCAGAAGCAGCAGCAGTCCCTCTGGTCACCTACTGCAGGCTTAAGGAAGGGAGAAATAATGTACATGGAGGGAGCTTTCTCTCTGAAAGATGAGAACTTGCACTTTACCCCATTCATGTTTCTCATTCACCCTTCAACCGATGCTGCAAGAGCTCCCCCTCCTGTTTCAGGATTTGCCTATCAATTTGAAGAGAAGCATCTATCTATTCTGACAACAGCAAAACACTCTTGCATTCAGTAGCCTTTTCCCAAAGGGCTATCACATTTAGCACTAAGGGAGAAATATCTGGCATAGCTGGCACATGCTCCTTTTTGTGGTGTGTGCAGAAAGAGTAAAATACTTCTGCCAGCACTAGTACTCAGGACACTACTTTATAAGCATGGAAATTCAATACTTCTGAAAAACAGACATAAAAAGAATTAATTTTTACTTCATCAACTGTTTCTACACCACCAACTACCTCTATTTCATAACTTTATGATAAAATGTGGTTTCCACAGCTATTATGTGAAATGCTAGGATTTTTCTAGGTTATAACAGCATGTTTTGAATTGCAAAGTTCATAAAAGGCTAACAGAAGTTCTAGAATGTCTGTTATCAGCCTTGAGGAAGCAGCACGTTGCAACAAAAAGGTTGAATTATTGTCTACAATAGTATTATTAAAGTCACTGATGCACAGCCCTCTCATCACTCTAAACCCTTTTTATGGTCACACGTGCCCCATAGCTTTCCGCTCCAGTTGAATGTTTTATCAGTAGATTCATCTGAGCAAAACAGTTCTTGACAGCAAAACAAGAAGTTTCTTTCAAGGCGTGAGGATGGGATCTTCCCATGTAAGGACAGGGAGGAATTTCCCTTTTAAAGGCATCATTCATTTGTCTAAACAGTAGTTGGTTTTGTGCTATTTTTCATTCTGCTATTAAACAACAGCAAGGTACTGAATTGTCTGAATCAAAGTAATTATAAACTTCAGTGTTCACAGAGCTTCATTAACTCAGATCAATGAAAAGAAGCAGTTTCTATTACTGTAGCTGCAAGGAGAGACATGTTGAGTATCATACCTGGGAAGCATCCATCAGAAACTGATGGGCTGTATGGATGGTAGAGTCCTTGCTTCTCTCTGGCTTCTCTTCAGTCACCTGTGGTACCTTTTCTCTTGTAGAGTCCTTGGCATCGTCAGAGTCTAAAACTGGGGTTTCTGACTCCTCTTCACCTGGTCCTACAATCACAGAATTAATCACTATCCCCATGGATCACACATAATACAGAAACCAATATTGTATCTCGACTCCTAGAACATCTCTCACACTGCTCTGTTATTCTCAGAAGAGCACTTTTAAGAGAAATGCACAAGATTTCAGACAATTCTAGGAACAGGGCGAATCCAAGGCTTGCAGCTCCAAGCACATAAACACATTTCCATATGCTTATCCTTATTTTCTCTTGTAATTATATTACAGAAGAAACAAAGTGTTAGTGAACAAATCTTTAATGCCTGAAAATTCCACCAGTGATACACATTTCTCAACCTATGTATCTTTTCTGACAAAGTGACAGGAGGTATAAAGCAGTTTGAGAACTGATCACAAGATAAAGGCCATCATTTCTTGTCTTTTATTCTCCACTTTGTAACGGAACAGTTTTCTGCAAATCAGAATTCAGTTTATAAATAAAGCACTGGACTAAAGAATTTTTTTTTTCTTGCTTCTGCTGTACCAAACCCTTCAACAACTTTTAAATAATTATTCTAAGAATAAAAAATATGGACTTGTTTATCAAGACTCTGTTTTTCAGTACGTAGTGTTATAGGATTTTGTGGAAAAAACAGAGACTGATTACATACATGCCCATACCATGGCATGGCTAGGCTTGCTAGTGAAGAGAGTATCACAAAATCATAAAATGGCTTGGGTTGGAAGGGACCTCAAGGACCACGAATCTCCAACCCCCCTGCCACATGCAGGGCCACCAACCTCCCCATTTAATACCAGACCAGGCTGCCCAGGGCCCCATCCAATCTGGCCTTCAACTCCTCCAGGGATGGGCATCCACAGCCTCTCTGGGCAGCCTGTTGCAGCACCTCATCACTCCCTCCATGAAGAACTTCCCCGATATCCAAACTAAATCTTCTCTCCCTCAACTCAAAACCATTTCCCTTGTCCTTCTATTATCTACCCTTGTAAAGAGTTGATTCCCCTCCTGTTTGTAGGCTCCCTTTAGGTACTGAAAGGCTGCAATGAGGTCACCCTGCAGCCTTCTTTTCACCAGGCTGAAGAAGCCCAGCTCCCTCTCAGCCTGTCTTTGTAGGGGAGGTGCTCCAGTCCTCCAGTCAACTTTGGGACCCTCCTCTGGACCCTCTCCAACACAGTGAATACCTGAAGAGAGTGGAGGACAGCAGGTGAATCCAGGCTGGCAAAAACAATTTCCTCTATCCAGCTTTTGCATAGTTTGATAAAGAAAATAAATAACCCAGAACATTCGAAGTTCCAGGCTACAGTGACTTCTGCCTAAAACTAAATACTGATAGGCAATTCAGTTTTGTTTTACTTCATTTGCACTTATGAAAGAAAGTAGTGACACAAGAACAACTTCAGTGCTATGTCACCTGACTTGGCTCAGACCAGCTCAGCTCCTCAACCTCCTGAAGATTTGTCAGAACTTATCTAAAAAAAGTTGAGCTCTGTGGTGCTGTGGCTGATGACACAGGACTACTCTTATGTAGTAAATAAGAGAACTGCCACTGTGTCTAACATACTGAAAAAATGCTTCCCTTTCACTTCTTCATAGAAGTACATGAAGATCAAAGATCATTAGCTTGAAGGAAAGAATAATGCGCTCTGTCACTTCACCAACTTAGGAAGAGGCTAACACCAGTTACCTGGCCAGAGTAAGAATACTGCTGCAGAAACATCAATTACAATCAGATGTTTTAGTCTTAAAGACAGATGAATCCACTACACATGAAAATAAATACCTATGTGCATGTTTAAGCATGCGTGTCAGCTTGCACTGAGAATGGTTTTTAAGTTAATGTACCAGAACTTTTAGTGGCAGTAGACTTTGTTTCTGGCTTCAGCTCCTCTATGTCCACTGCTTGGAGATCCTCGTTCTGCATTTCTGTTTCCATAGCTGTATCTTCAGGATCTCCCTCTTCATTTTCTTCGAGAGGCATAATAGGTTTCTCCTGCTCCTTGCTAGCTACGTCTGTACAAAGGCAACATGAATCATTAAGGAGACAAGAATGAAAAAGTATAGTTACAAAAAACCTACATTCTGAGGCCACTACATATAATCTTTACTGATCTTCAAAAGAAATCATCTGGGCTTCTCTCTGAAACATTTGTTATTATCTTTCACTGTTCTGTTCCACGTTGTGTCAAACAGCTATTCCTCTGAAAAATCTGAAGACTAAACTTGAGTCATTACTTTGATAGAAAGCAATTTATTTAATTAAATTTAGTTTAGAGGAATATTTTCAAAGAATCATCAGTTTGATACAGAATAAGGAACCTGTTGCTTTACGCTGTATTTCGCAAGCATGGTAACAATATGGGCTTCAAAACAGATAAGATTTGGAAAGAAAGAATTTTAAATAGGTTTAGAACGCTGAAATCCCACTTCTATGAGGAAGTTCAATATTTTCAAATACATTATCATTAGCCTGAACCTGATTACACCAGAGAATAACATTTATCATAGTGAAATAGTGTTGTCTTGCAAAGAAAGGATATTAAACATAACTGGAGGGAGGAGGGGTGAAGTACTGCAATAAAACTACAGTAAATAGGAGCTTTGGGATTTGAATCTGGAATGACAACTCTTTACACACAGAAATACCACCACATACCATAGGTCTGTGCATCGTAGCATTCAGAACTTTGTTTGATGTGTTCAAATGCATCAGCCTCCTCCACCTTTAGTTTAGACTGAGCTGTATTCTGCTTTGCTTCGCTGCTGGATTCGATGGTTCTCAGTCGCTTGTGGACGCGCTCGTTGTGATCTCCCATTGAGCGCTCATTGTCTGCCTGACCAGGTTTCCTCTTGAAACTCTGAAAGAGAAAAATTACTACCATGACCTTCATGTGATGTGCAGCCAAATACAGATTAGAACATGACTTCTAACCAAGAGAAACTTTATAATAACCAGCAAACAGGTAGGGCTAAGTCATTCAAATTAAGTACAAAGCTTAAAAAAAAACAAAACAAGAAATCAAGAAAAAGAAGATTTAAAAGGATCAAAGAATGAGATTAACCTGTGTATTCTTCATGCTTTGCTTTTCAGAAGCCATTCGGGCCATGCGTGTGGATTCATGGCCTTCTGATTGATTTGCGCTTGCAGCTCCACTTCCATATTCCTGAGAAACCAAAAAAATTGCAACTGTAACTCAGAAGGTTGCAGACAAACATCAGAAATCAAACTGAAACATTGTGTTGCCTTCTGGCGCGAATGAAAAACGGCTCACAACTGCAAACTCTATTCTTGTGTAGGGCACAGAGACAGTTCCACAGACCAAGAATTAGCCTAAACTGTGAACACACACTTCGTTGCCAGGAAGGCATCTTCTTTTTTTTTTTTTTTTCCAGTTTACTTTCCCCAGTTAACTTGTATGTTCTGAAAATTGAGTCCTGGACACAATTCTTAAAATACTGCAGCAGTTTTCTGATTACAGCTTAAAAACGTATGTCAGCTTAAACGTATACAGCTTAAAAACATAAGTCCAGCGTTTCTAGCTCATACAATTCCATGTAGCTTACCTCTTTGGACTGGTCTCTTTCTGAAGCCTCTCCAGCTAGCTCTACAGCACTGTCACTCTGCAGGTTTTCTTGCCCAGTCTGCCCTTGTGTTTCATGCTCCATTCTCTCCTCAGACTCAGGGACCTGCTCATCCATCTCTGCATT